GCAGACCTTTGAAATCTTGCATATTATGAACACAATATTTGAAAATTTCAAAGAACAGGATGCTTGATACTCTAATGATGTGACAAAATTCTATGCACAGAAATTAAAATCCCAGACAGCAGAAATGCCAGGAAAGAAATTCTTAGCTTTACCTCCGCACTTTATAGTCATCTCTCTAACTTATTTTATGAGAAAGTATTTATAATCACTTACTCCCCCTTGAGATTCTGGGCAGTCCATTGTAACAGAAGAAAGAAGCAATAGCTTACACTGGAAACAATTCCCTAACTTACATTTCTTATTATTAGTCCTTTAGCCAATGGGCCTAATATCTACAGAAACCTGTTGGAGATATTTCAATATATGTTAGTATTTTTATTCAAGAAAAAAAATGATAACTTCATGATGCTCCTATTGTTGGTTGCAAAGAGAATCCAGATGCTTTAGTAGGAAGGGGCTGTTACATTTATCAGGCTCTGCATGCATGTGAAATATGACATATTCTACACCCTAGATGAATTTAAGGCAGAACCATGGACGTGCTCTAACTGGAATTACCAATACAAGGATTATTAAAATTATTAATTCCTCAATAGTACATGCCAAATGTTAGGTTCATACTCTCATTCACTCCTGACAAAAACACTAACTTTCTCTCTTATTGGCTTCTGGGTATGCAAATTACACTCATGATTTTTAAATCTCAGATCATATTAGGAGTGAAGAGTAAAGTACAGAATTTTGTGGAATCTTATGTTTCTGTTAAAAGAATCTTTCAGCTGAAGTCAAATGAGACACCCTCCTCTCCCCAAAAAGAAGACAGTTGTCACACTTCCTTAAATACGGGCAAGAATTAGGGTACTAGATGTTATCAATTTTTCCAATTACTCATCACACCCTTTACCACATAGCTTGTCTTTCCTAGTTCATTTTTTCCTTTTTTTGTTTAACTTACCCTCAATTTGAGATTTCATGAAGTGAGCACAGGTTTACAGCTTCCACAAATCCAGAAACTAAGTTATCCTACTGACCAAATAAAGCAAAGCCCAGAGTAACACACAGAATGATACTTTGGATGTTTATTTATTATTTATCTTAGCTCCTAAATTTCTAAGGCACAAGAAGGAAAGTTATTGTGTATATATACTTTTAGTGAATAATTTTTATTAATAATAATTAACACACTGTGGGAGGGGAAGAGAGAAGTATGGCAAGGCAGACTGCTTTTCATATTCTTTTTGGTCTTGGTAAAAACTTGGGTCTTCTGTTTTCTTCTGTGCAGGCATACCTCATTTTATTGTACTTTGCTTTATTGTGCTTCACAGATACAAGCTGAAGGCCTATGGCATCACTGCAGCAGGTAAATCTATCAGGGCTGTGTTTCCAACAGCACTGGCTCACTATGTCTCTGTGTCACATTTTTATAATTCTCTCAATATTTCAAATTTTTCATTATTATTGTATTTGTTATGGTGATCTGTGGTCAGTGATCTGGGATGTTACTACTGCAATCATTTGGGGGCACCAGGAACCAGGCTCATGTAAAACAACCAGCTTAATGGACAAACGTTGTGTGTGTTCTGACCACCCCACCATTTGTCCACTCCCCCAGCTCTCTCCCTCTCCCTGGGTCTCCCTATTCCCTGAGACACAACAATATTGAAGTTAGACAATGAATAACCCTACAATGGTCTCTAAGTGTACAAGTGAAGAGTCACACACCTTTCACTGCTTTTCGTATTCTCTGTGGCTGCTTTACAAAACCAAGCAGCTCATCACCTCAGTATGTTAATGCGTAAGCTTAGAATCTTGGATGGTAGAATTCACTCACACTGGAAGGTTTAGGAGTTCTGACAAACAGCACGGAGAGAGAGCGAGAGCAGTGCTTGTATGAGGAGACCTAATTAAAGTCTCAGTGAACCTATAAATGCTGAGCAACTAACTGTGGGGGCAGTTTCATTACACCTGTAATGCGTAAGCTTAGTGAGGAAGGCATTTCCAAAGCCCAGATAGGCTGAAAGCAGGGATGCTTGCAGCAAACTGTAAAACCTTCTGGAAAGGATTCACCACTAATAACACATGTGATTCATGGGAAGAGATCAGAATATGACATGAACAGGAATTTGGAAGAGGCTGACTGCAATCCTCAAGATGCCTTTGAGGCCTCGAGACTTCACTGGAGGCCATCACTGCAGATGTGGGGGAGATAGCCAGAGAACCAGGTTTACAGGTGGAGCCTGCAGGTGTGACTGAATTGCTGCAGCCTCATAATAAAACTTTCAGATGAGGGGGTGCTTAAGGGGAGCAAAGAAAGTCATTTAGAGACAGAAACTGCTCTTGGTAAAGATGCTGTGAAGATTCAAATAACAACAAAGGATTTAGAACATGACATAAACTTGGATTTGTAAAGCAGCCACAAGATTTGAAGAGGACTGACTCCCAATTTTGAAAGAAGATCTGTGGGTAAAATGCTATCCACCAGCATCACAGGCTACAGAAGAATCATTCATGAAAGGAAGACTCAATGGATGTAGAAACTTCATTGTTATTTTAAGAAATCACCACAGTCACCCCCAAACTTCAGCAGTCACCACCCTAATAGGTCAGCAGCCATCAACATTGAGGGAAGACCTTTCACCAGCTGACAAGATTATGACTTGCTAAAAGCTCACCTGATGGTTAACACCTGATGGCTAGCATTTTTTAGCAGTAAAGTATTTTTTAATTAAGGTATGTACACTAATTTTTTAGGCTGTTATTGCACATTTAATAGATTACAGTATAGTGTAAACTTTTATATAAATTTTATATATAATTTTTATATGCACTGGGAAACCAAAACATTCATTTGACTTGCTTTATTGAGATATCTGCTTTCCTGTGGTGGTCTGGAACTAAACCCACAATATTTCCTAGGTATGCCTGTAATTTAAAATTTGTTTATTAAGAAAATGTCAAGAACCATACCGAGAACCTCCAGCACTAACCTAACCTGTTCAGAGGGCCTCTCCAGTAGAGGGCATGGTAGATTCAACATTAAAAATGTATGGTTAATTTATCAAGCCATTCTCAAGCTGTGGTTTTGCTGTGCAATATTTGCAATCTATTGCATTATTTCTTACTCCAACACAGAATGGAAAGTGTGTGTCATCTTAATATTAAGCAATCCCCATTTACCTAAAAAACAGTTTCAACAACAAAAGAAAGGGGGGAAGTCATCAAACCTTATAGCTTTCACTTTAAATATATGTCTGCCTATCATTATAAAAGACATTATATAGCATGGCAACTTTTTGACTGAAAGGTTTCTCAGTCTGTAGTCAGTACTACCTTAACTCTTAAAATTACCTATTTCTTAAAATAGGTACAGAAATGATAAATTAATTCAGATTTGGATTTTTCAACCTCAAAATTTTCAGGATAAGATTAATTTGCTGCCATTTAACATTAGTTGTCAGTCAGGCTTACAAAAGAAGCAAATAATTATATTAAATACTTGCAGAAACACCTAGGATAGTCTATATTTAAACCAGTTGCTTACATGGATACATATGTATTTACTGTCCTGAACATACTGAGATGATGAAACTTTTCTGGCTTGGAGATCTTAGAAAAGTTTAAATGTCAGACAGTTCATTTATTTTCCATATTTGTTTTTTAACTATCTAGTAGAAGCTTGATAGCCAACAAATCTCAATGACATTATCTTGATATTTTTAATAGTACTTACACATTTATAACCTACTTAACTGACTTAATCCTTTAATGATTTTCTACCCTGAATAGATTTGCTTCCAGATATTTCTTTGTCACACATACGCAAACTAGTAACAAACTCTTGTATAGTATTTTATAATTTATAAAGGTCCTTCTCATAAGATTCACATATCCAATGAAGTTAGTGAGAAAAACACATTACTGTTGATTAAGATGAGAAACCTAGCTCAAACAGGTGTGATGAAACTGACCCCACAGTTAGTTGCTTAGCATTTACAGGTTCACTGAGACTTTAATTAGGTCTCCTCATACAAGTACTGCTCTTGCTCTCTCTCTCCATGCTGTTTGTCAGAATTCCTAAACCTTCCAGTATGAGTGAATTCTACCATCCAAGATTCTAAATGAAAAATATATTGAGGTTTATACTGGCAAGAAAAAAGCAAGTGTCTGCATATTATATATATTTAATAAATACGTACTGAATCATCAGTAAGTGAAAATAGACGTAGGAAATAGTATACAAAGTTATTTTAGAGATGCAGAGCATATGACTGAGAAAAAAATGCCATTTTTACAATTACACAAACACGTTTTAAAGTATTTATTACCGAAAATCAAATGATTTCCCTTTTCCTAATAAAGTACAAGGCTGTTCTCTTTAGCAATAATTGCAGATTTTACCTTCCCAGTCAAACTTGGAGCTCAAACCACAGGCAGCAATTCACCATAAGAGTATGTTAAATCAATTCCAATTTTCTTTTAACAGTTCTAATGCAAAGTAAAGAGAATACCTGCAACCTAATCAACACCTTGCTGTATCTTATTGTATCCTTAGATGCTTGATGGAAAAACCACTTGAATATTCCACTATACAGTTCTAGTAATAGTTCTAATATAGTAGTATTATCTGAAATGAAATCATTTGCAGTTGAGGTTTCTATTTGTCTTTACCAATCAGACCGTTTAAAGCCCGCTACAGTAGAGATAATTTTTAAAGAATTCCTAATTTCAACTTAACAGAGCAAATTGTTAACTTCCCTTTCGCCAGTCACTTGGTGTTCTGGTAAACTGTAAGCCAACCAAGAATGACTCATGAGGACATCCTGCATCCTTACGCTTAGACCAGAATGATTCCGAATGATTCCATTGCATTACAGCAGCGAAGTGCTGGAGTTTCCCCAGTCTCATCGTAAGAACTGTGATTTCTGTTCTGGAAGGAAGAGGCAGCCAAGGAAGGCCTCCTGAAGAATAAGCCTGCAACCCCGGACAGCCCTAGGTCTGTTGGGGATCAAAAACGCACACCCCGTTAAAGCGCTGGCGCCCGATGAAGTCACCTTCTCAGGTCCCGTCCCTGCCTGGTGTCCACTACAGCGCTCCCAGACAGACGCCTAGGCAAGCTGCAGAGTTCACACAGCACCACCGAGCCCTGCATCACCCCTGTTCCTGCCGTTCACCGTTTCCTTCCCCTGAGTAAATGAAACCCCGGAGAGGATCAGGTAGGGGGCTCCGGGCGGCCTATTCACAGACGTGGAAATGAGGTGGGGGGAGAAAACCTTAATTCAAAGTAAGGCGATTGCACCCCGGTCGGCAGCAGACAACCTGTCCCCGCCGGGCACTCGAGTCTGGGCCACGGAAGCCCGGGGGACGGAGGCGAGCGCCCCAGCAGGGCCTGTAGCACCCTCGGGCTACCCCCTCCGCGGGAGGCGCAGGGCAGCCCTCACGCCGGGCCCGGGCTGCAGAGGCGCCAGCTCGCAGGGGAAGGTCCTGCCGCCCCCACGCCCGGCCCCGGCCGCAGTGCGCACAGAGGCGCGGCCGTAGACGTCAGCAGCGACCCCCCGGGCTCCTCGGAGGCGCCGCGACTGCCGCAGACCCTGACCCCGCCCCTGCCGCGGCATCCGGCCAATCGTCGCCCTTGGAAGGCGGGACCGACGGCGTGAGGCCCCGCCCCCTGGCGTCAGCTCTTATAAGTGCGGCGGCGGCGCCGGCTCTAACAGCTGCGGCCACTGCGGAAAGGTGATTATGCAAAGTGCCATGTTTCTGGCCGTTCAGCACGACTGCGGACCCATGGACAAGAGCGCAGGCAGCGGACCCAGGAGCGAGGAGAAGCGGGAGAAAATGAAGCGGACGCTGTAAGTACTGCTTCTTTTTCTCTTCCGCTGCGCGCTGCGGCCCCAGCTCTCCCAGGGCGCTGCAAACGCCGGACATTCAGGCTCGCCTTTGATGCTGGGAAACTGTCGTGTGCGCCTCTGCAGGGGTGGGGGGGAATGTGGAAAAGGTCAATTTGCTAAGTAAGGTTAAATCTGTGTATTATGTACTTGTTACGTGAGCGAAGGACTCGGGCAGTTTAGGAACTGAAGAGAGTCCTTTATATGGAGGCGGTGGGTGCACCTGAGAAATTGCAGGTGGCTTTTGTCTCCCTGCATTTAAAATGACATCAGAAGCCCGCGGCTGGCGCGTCCCCAGGGTTCGCCCCTTGCGTTGTAAGTTTCGATCAGTTTACACAGCTTCTGGAATGGAACTAGTGGTGCTGGTTGTGAACATATTCGTTTTAAATCATCTAACTTTACTGACTAGCAGATCTTACCCACTAACGACTATGGAATAAATAATTGTTCTGCGTCGTCAGCTTAAAATGAGTGTCGGTGGGGATAGGGGGCCAAACACAACCCACCCACCCACACCTCGTTGTTCACCGCTTTTAGGCTTATAGCGCCGTCCAAAGTTTCTACCCGCTCTAAGGGTAGAAAGGAAACTAGCTTCCACCGGCTCAAGGCAGATCCAATGACGGTTTCATCAATGTGAAATATCTCTAAATTAATTAATGTTAAAAAATAGCCGCGGACTTTTGTGGGCTAGAAATGGCATCTGCCTTTTGAACTATGCAAATTAAATTCATTAAAATACCCTAGTAATTTTACATAGTCCTGCTCTTAATTATAAATTTAGTAGTTATGTTCAAATAAATGAGTGAAACTAATTGTATACAGTATATAGGGGCTTAGTTTAAATGTTAAGTGATTAAGACTGACTTGAAGAGTTTTTGTTTTGTCTGATTTGGTTTATCTATAGCTTCTGGGCAACTTTTATTTGGTAAAAATGCCTCAGTGCAGTAGCAATGTCAAGTGTTGCCACTTAAGAGAATTTCTTTTTTTTAGATTAAAAGATTGGAAGACCCGTTTGAGCTACTTCTTGCAAAATTCCTCCTCTCCTGGGAAGCCCAAAACTGGGAAGAAGAGCAAACAGCAAACCTTTGTCAAGTAAGTTGAAGATCTTAAGATATGCAAATATGAGTAGCTAGCTGCTGAGCTGAAAAAGGGAACCCTGATGTGCACGAGCTAATGTGCAGACTTTTTCTTGCAGGCCTTCTCCTGAGGAAGCACAGCTGTGGTCAGAAGCTTTCGACGAGCTGCTAGCCAGTAAATGTAAGTTAACCTCTTGAATTTGACCCACGTCAAGTGTCAGGAGAGTCTATAGTGAGTGAACTACAGAAGAGAAGAGTGGCCTACCTGAGGGGAATGCCACTTTACAATCCTTACAGCATCAATTCTGTTTATCTCCTTTGTTTCCCAATAGAAATGCATGGTTTATTCACTTTAGGTGGGGAAGAAAAATTAACCTATACTAGCATTTGCTCCCCATTAAGGTTGAGCAAGCTTTTCCATTGCTTACAATGTTTTCAGGAAACTTTGTTCCCAGAGAACTATGGTTCTCCTGTAAATACTTGCATTGACAGCGAAGTTAAGTATATTATTGTAGCAGTGTGCCAGTTTAAGCCTACTGGCGTCTTACTCTGTAAAGAGCTAAATTCTGAAGATTACAGATCTAAGTGAATTTTAGAAAATTGCTATTGTCTAGAAATCATAAAATGTAGGGGCAGGGAAATGAGGTTCTAGGAAAAAATCTAAGGGGTTATTTGTTCACGCAATACACATTCTGCATGCCTCTCTCCTCCACAGATGGTCTTGCTGCATTCAGGGCTTTTTTAAAATCTGAATTCTGTGAAGAAAACATTGAATTCTGGCTGGCCTGTGAAGACTTCAAAAAAACAAAGTCACCACAGAAGCTGTCCTCAAAAGCAAAGAAAATATATACTGACTTCATAGAAAAAGAAGCTCCAAAGGAGGTAAGGGAAAAGAGTTCTTCATATCAGCATACTTTGAATGTTCTTAGTAACAGTAAAAGAATAGAAGAGACATCAAATTAAAAGCAGAGAGGGGGGTGTAAAAAATGTTCTTCACCTAATTCTAGCTGTCAGTTGGGTTAAATATATGTCTTCGATGGCTTGACTGGTGAAGCTAATCACACACTAGTTTTTTTTCTTTTTTTCAAATATTAAATGATTTCAGTCTCTTAACTGAATGTGAAATAAACCACTTTTCTGTTTTATTTCAGATAAACATAGACTTTCAAACTAAAACTCTGATTGCCCAAAATATACAAGAGGCTACGAGTGGCTGCTTTACAACTGCCCAGAAAAGGGTGTACAGTTTGATGGAGAACAACTCTTATCCCCGTTTCTTAGAGTCGGAATTCTACCAGGACTTGTGTAAAAAGCCCCAGATCACTACTGAGCGCCGTGCCACATGAGAGGAAAGAGGGAGCCCAGAAGTCGAGGGCCTGTCATTGTTTTCCGAAGGAGAAAGGCTGCAACCTGCCAAACAGACTGACCTTGAAGTCAGGCTGGATGTTCGGAGAACATCACTCAGAACAATTGATTCAAAGCTGGGCAGCAAATGGGGAAGCTGGCGGCAGTGCTGGAGAAGCTTGTGTTGCGGTAGCTTCCCTAGCGGTGTATAGAGCACAGGAAGAGAGCAGTTTAGATGCGGTGTGTCTCACATTGGAAAAGCAGGAATGTGGGACTGAAAGATACAGTGTAATACTGTTGGTCCAAAAACATTTAAAATCATTAGGTCTGGGATTATGTGGCCTTAGCTGGCTGGCTGTACATCTTTCCCAAATCAGTTCATGTCACCACACGAACTAGTGTTGGTTTCTTAGTATTAAGGTAACATTAAATAATGTTTACTGTGCGCAAGGGTATTGACGTTCTTATGACTACAGATAATCTGTACCATCATATCACATGATGCTTGAACTGAATGGTCTATATTTGAATTGTTAAATGTTGTGTGTAATGGAATGAATGCTGTTGTATAGAAAACTACAATGTCCATTATGAGTGTCATAAACTGTCCTGAAGGCAGCTAATTATGAGGTAGTCTTTGAATACTTTTAATAAATTTATTTTAATAAATAATGTTATTGATACTTGGTCCAGGTGTGGGAGTTTTTTTTTATTTTTATAATTGGAAACAAGGCAGATACAAGAAGAGGTACCCAAGTTGGTGTGCCTGTTCAGTGAGAAAGGACAGTACTCAGAAATGATAGGTCTGTCATGCAACTACCTCTTTTATTTATTTTTTTAATTAAGGTATTGAAATACACTCAGGAAGGTTTCACATGAAAAAACAATGTGCTTACGACATTCATCCATATTATCAAGTCCCCACCCATACCCCAATGCAGTCACTGTCCATCAGTGTAGTAAGATGCCACAGATCCACTATGTGCCTTTTCTGTGCTACACTGTTCTCCCCGAGATCCCCCACACCATGTGTACTAAACATAATACCACTCAGTCCCCTTCTCCCTCCCTCCCCACCCACCCTCCCACACCCCTCCCCTTTGGTAACCACTAGTTCATCCTTGGAGTCTCTGAGTCTGCTGCCATTTTGTTCCTTCAGTTATGCTTCATTGTTATACTCCACAAATGAGAGAAATCATTTGGCACTTGTCTTTCTCCACCTGGCTCATTTCACTGAGCATGTCCTCCAGCTCCATCCATGTTGTTGCAAATGAACTACCTCTTTTTTAAATCTGTTAAGCATTATGTAGGTTAAGGGAAGTCAGACCAGACCACTTACTTAGAACCACCTTGGGCTCAATATTTCTAATAAAGTCTTATGAAAACTCGAGCTTCTATATGAAAACAGAAGAACACTGATCTAATACCCTTCATGGGTATCTATCAAGGCCCGGCTAAAGTGAGAAGTGGACAATGTCATGGAGATAAAGCAGCCACTAATTACGTAACTAAGCTTCTCAAATAAAAAAGCTGAAGAAGGTGAGCCGGCCTATTTTGGTTTCCCTGGACTCCAAGTCCTGGCACTCAGGTGGGCATGAGCTCCCAAGAAACTGTTCACTTCTGGGGTGGGTCAATACAAATCAGAATTTTCCTGATTGCTCTACCTTCTTTTGGCTGAGAAGAATCTGGTTATGTTACTCTAGCTAATGATGAAGACAAAAGAAACACACTTTGGTTTCTTAGCCTAGTCTAAAAATGTGCTTTCTTTCTAATTGAGAGAGGAAGGCCTTGAATCTGGTATTTTTCTAACTGTCTATTTAGAAAAGTAACACTCTTCTCCATCAGGCTGCTTTTTCATCCTCCTTGATTACAGTTTTAATTTTAAAAAGGAGGGGGAGTCCTCATTTTGGATTTGGTAAACCGGAGCCCAAGTAATGACCTCAGCTTTGTGGCCTCCGGAGTCTCCAGCTGCCCTGGCAGTTAAACTTACACTTTCTTACCTATCCCACTGGTTCCTGTGAGGTAGTAAGGGGCTTTAGAAATTGTAAAACACTAAAAAAAAATTAAAAATGCATTTATTCTGATTTGCCAAAAGAAAGATTGACCTCCTGTAACTGTTTTCATTAGTTACCACTAATTTTCACCTTAACCAACCAGCACCAATGGCACAAGTTCCAGTCTTTGCCTTTCCGCTCCCGTGTCACCAGCAGCCAGAATAACACATAATAGGTGCTCCATAAATAGTGGTGGAAGAAATGAAATATGAAAGGTCATTAAAATATTTCTTTGGAAAATAAATAAGTCAGATCTGCACAAGCTTAATTTGGAAAGTTTTTGGCCAGGAGTTTAGACTCAGGAGTCAAGTCACATATCCAATTTGTCACCAAGCCCACTTTCTCTCATCACCCTGATCAAAGACGATACTATCTGAGGCCTGGATGGCTGCAGTGGCCTCAACTCTCCCCTCACTCACTCTTCCCCACTACAAGATGGGCCTGTTTTTCAAATCTAGGGATGTTTTCAAGACATAAAACAGAGCTGTCTCCTGTTGCTTATAAACCCTTAACAAGTTACCCAAACAATTAGGATCAAGGTATTATTCCTAAAGGGTCTAACCCCCGCATGGCTTGACCCTTCATTCCACTCACCTTCTCTCTGCCGTATTGCCCCCAACTCCCTCTCCTGGCCACGCTGGCCAACTTCCGTTGCCCAGTAGGTGCTACCTACACCTGCTGGTCCCACAGGGCCTGTGCATGTAATAGTCCCTCTGCATGAAATGCGATTTCAGCTCTTACTCATCATTCACAGCTCAGTGCAATTGTCGCTTCCTCAGGGAAGCCTTCCTTGACCTCCTTACCTAGATCAGATCCCCTTTTTGACATTCTGATAGATCCCAGTTCTCTAATTCAGAGCACTTAATGGAGTTCTCTTATATTTTTATGATTATTTTCTGATAATTCTATGTCTTCTCCTGTTAGATAGTAGATGCCACAAATTGAGGACTTTATATGTTTTTCTGCTCACTGCTGAATCCCAGCACCTAGCACCTTGCCTGGCATACAATGGGAGCTGCATAAATCACTGATGAATGAATGAATGAATAATAAAAGGTCTTGCAAATTTTGGTAAAACCCAAGATGTATTTGCCAGTGTACTAGGAAATAAGGACAAGGTTTTAAAAGCCCCATTGGCTCAAAGGTCTGCAAATATCTGCACAGCCTTTTACTTTGGCAAAAATAAATCTCTTATTAAGCATGTTCTTTGTAACTTTTGACCTTTAATAGAAGGAGAGCCAGATTACGGTAATAAAAAAAAACAAGCATTTTGACTTTTTCAGGGCTGCTAAAAGCTCAGACTTAATTCAGGTGGTATTTTCCAATGTTCTCTAGTGTGGAACAAACTGAAATAGATCTAAGGTTAGAAGCCACATACCTCCACAAATAAATATCACTTCATGTTCCAGTTTCTCAGAGCTCATACGTTTAAGACCCACAGTTTATTCCTTTTTACATTATTTCATTTTTTTTCATATATTTTAAGCTCAAGAGCATTTCAAAATATGGTAATTTCATACAGTCCCACTGAAAAAAATTGAATCGTGTATTATCTGTCATGTGTGCACAGGGAGATACTGTAAGAGTTTCAGTGAGACAACTTAAAGGGATCACCCAAATTTCACAGGGAACAGGTCTTCAGTAGAGGCTTTATTTCTTGTTTGTTTTACCAAAAAATGGGATCATTTTATCACCTGTGGAGCTGGAGAGTGAAGAAAATTTTTCTTCTCATGAGAGATGTTATGGATGGGGTTGCATTGTGCATTCAGACAGTGCGGAGACTAGGAAGCACCCACCCTGAGCCAGGCACTCTGTAAGTCCTAACACTGTTTTCCAGGGTCCACCCACATTGCAGCTGAAGAAGGAGCTAGGCCAACTTTACAGAGAGGGGCACCACTGTTAAACGGTGAAATTTGCCATGTATGGAGATCCCCATAGTCTGGCTATGACAACTTTAGAAAACTGGCCTTTTGACAACTTTAGAAAGCAATTTTCTATGTTTTTAGTCAATGGCAAGGAGATGAAGTTTATCTAATATTTGGCATCCTAGCTAAGAAGTAGACTGGAATTACTTGAGGTGACAGTAACAGCCCAAAAGAGCTTCTCCTGTGAACTGCAGAGTAAAAAGAAGAATTGCTTACAGAAGTAAGAAGTACATTCTAGACTAAGGCAATTAGGCAATTGCATTAAACAAAGGCTGATATCAACCATTTTGTGCCCATGATCCAGTGTAACAAGACCACACTACATGTGGAGGGTAAGACCCAGATGGGCACAGAAGCCCAGGACCAGGTGACAGACAGCCTTGACTACTAAAGGTTAGGATTTTATTCTAAGGCAATGATACCAATCTCAACTAAAATGTACAAAAATATCTTGGGCAACGATATGAAGGAAGAATTAGAGGCAAGAAGATGAGTTAAGAGACTGTAGTAATAGCCCAGATGAGAAATGTCATGTGCCTAAAAACAGGGATGGTGCCACCAAATAATGCAATGGAACTTAGTAGCAAATTACACATCACCCACTCTATGCAGAACACTGATCTAAACCACACAGGAAATAAGTATGAAGACACTGCCAATCTGCCAAGAACCACCAAATATCTGATGAAATAGTATGCAAAATTAAAACATTATGTGGATGATAACAGGTGATTAATTATCAAAAGAGAACTGCTAATATCTTGCTAGGGTGATGGACGATGACTGTAGTGAGGTATGTGGTGGGGACTTGATATGGGGGGAGTCTAGTAACCACACTGTAATTGTGGATTAATGATACCAAAACAAAAAAAAAAGAACTGCTAATAACTTTAGTTGGAATGAATCAAGAAACAAAGTAAGGTGGCATTTTTTGATATTTAAAGAATGGACATTTATATATTTAATGAGGATGAAGAAGAGAGTATTCAGGGTAGAGTAACAGTTTAAGTAAAAGGAGAGGGGAAAAGCAGGATTACATTTTGCATTGTGCTATTTTTATAGGCAGGTACTTTGGGTGGGGATGTGTATTTGAAAGCTATCTCACTGATTCATTTTTTGGCAAATATATGAAGAGTTTCCCTGGGCAAGGAAGATATGAAAGAGCAGAAGAAATGGTCATCTGTTGAGAAGAAGAAGAGCAGAAAATTTGCAGGCTTAAAATCACAACTGAAAGCTACACTTTATTTTTCTTAAAAACATAAGGTCATCAACCAGCCCCATCATCAAGTTCTATGAAACCTTTCTTCAGGAGAGCCCAGGCGTCTTCCCTTCTCCTACTACAGACAAGTGCTTCCTTGCCATTACCATCACGCCTTCAAATGAGATCTCAATAGGCCTCAGACTCTATGACCTTTTTCTGACTTATTCCCTAGACTGCTATTTGAACACTGATTTTTCCACATCATTCTTATGACCAGAGAAATACATGAACCCTCTAGTATATTCCAAATCAAAGTAAACTTCCATGCCTAAAGCTAAAAATTCTCTGCTAGTTGTTTTTGTCCACCCATCCTGCCTTATTTCTCACCACTGACCAGAAGCATTCAGTGCTGAATTTTCTTACTGTTCCTGAGATATATTATTTTTATCCTATTATTAGATGAAATTGTCCCCCTGCTCAGTCTTCAAGTTTTATTCATTTTTCAAAG